CAACCTGCCGCTTTGCGGCCCTCGGAACGGGAGAACTCCGTTTCGACGAGGCGCTGCCCCGCATATCCTGTCCCGCTATCAGAGTGCGCATATCCTTGGCGGCCAGGGTCCACATGCGGCTCCCCATCTATTTCAGCACACCCCTTAAACATTTCGTGTCCCCATAGGGAGCGCCACCGAAGGCTCCAATGAGGTGGTCCACATACGGCTCCTCGGCCAATCCGGTACACCCCGCACGCGTTTCGTGACCCCATAAGGAGCTCCACCGAAGGCCCCAGTGGCAGGGTCCACATGCGGCTCCCCGCCGATTTCGGCACACTCCTCACACGCTTCGTGGCCCAATAGGAGGCTCCACCGAAGGGCCCAGTGAGAGGGTCTACATGCGGCTCCCCGCCCATTTCGGCACACGCCCCCGAGAGAGCGCAAAACACATTGAACAGCCACGTGCTAGGTCCTAGGTATTCGCAGATGGGACACCTGAAAAGACAGTGTGGCCCATACCGAGAAACCTTAAACACCAAATGCAAGAACACGACGCGACGCGGCTCAACACTACTCGGGCGTTGGCAGAACTGGGTTTAGTAGGACCTGGTTTAGTGATCTGCACCGAGGACGTCCCCCCCCGTCCCATTCCACAAACCGGAATTGCCGTCAACCGAAAAAGCACCAGCAACCGCAGACCTGGTTTAGTGATTCCAATCCATATTTTCGGCTTCGGGGCCCAACCACTAACCAGCTCCCCTTAACCGGGGTCCTGGCTATACCCGAACTACACAACACGGCACAGCCCGGCACGGCCCCGCAACGCCACACCGAATCGCACATCGGACCCACGACACGTCCACGTTGAGGCCACCACGGCCTGCGCCGCACGTTGCACCGCCAGAGCGGTTCACGAGCCGGTCCGCTCTGCCACCGCATGCGCTGCGCCACAAGCTTTAGGTCGGGCGTGTCCTCCTACAGGGGGATCTTGTGCGACAAATCTAAAATAGTTTTAAATTATACTCCCAAATGGTCAAAGATAGCCAACACATCGTCCCCAGACTATTTTTTGACTACTTTTGAATATTCCTCCTGTAGAGGGACAGGCCCGACTGAAGGCTACGCCACAAGCTGCGTCGCCGACCCGAATCACGAATTGGGCCGCTCTGCCACCCTGCGCCACAATCGGGGGTTGCTGAAGGCGCCCCTGGCCCAATGTGCCCCCAGCTTTCCCTCAATTTCGAAGCCCCCGGGGCCCTCTGGGCCTCGTGAGGGGTGCTCTGGAGGCCCTGGGGGCCTCCGTGGAAATCCTGGGGGCACCTTGGGCCAGGGGCACTTCTAGCAACACACGACACAAATCGCGCCAGAGGCTGAGCCGGCCCCTCTTCCGAATCACAAGTCGGTCCGCCCTGTCATCCCGTGCGCCAGAAGTTGCGGCATACGTCGTGTTGCAGATGGCGCCCCCCTCGGGAGGACTCCAGAGGCCCCTGGTGGCCTCAGGAAGTCTCCCGCGAGGACCTCGGTCGTCGAGGATATCTCCGGCGGCCGTCGCCCGCTTCCAGAAGAGGCTCGTCTTCGTCTTCGCCGTGGCCGTCGCTGCTGCTGCTGCTGCGTCCATCGGGGGCGCGCAAACATGGATTAGTGATCCATGGATTTGGCGCGCGATCGCCAAATCCATGGATCGGGGGAGGTGCCCTCCCCACAATGCGGCCAATGCCGCCTCACTCGGCGGCGGAAATCTGCGATTTCCCATGGAAACGGAAACCGTCGCTGGTCCACGGCCCCCTTGATCCATGTTTGCGATCGCTTGAGAATTGCGCCCCCCTCCGAATCGCGAGCTTGTGCGCTCCGCCCCCCTTCCAAGAACAACGAGACAACCTCGCAACACTCATTGCTCAGGGAAGAAATTTTGCGCCACTGCGTTGCGCACGGCACGCCCCGCAAATTTTCACGTCTGGGTCCGAAGCGTTGCGCGCGGCGCGCCCTCCTCAGGGGTCACGGTTCGCACCGCCATGCGTCCCTCAGTATGGTTTCCAACACACCCCGAGGTCATTCGCAGATCCGGGAAAGAGGAAACAACATACTCACAAGCCGTAGCATTATGGTAGTCCCGATGCTGTGGACATCACAGCATACAACACACATTGCGTGGTGGTGCGAGAGCGTACACCAAGTCTTCTTCAGCAGAACTCGCGCTCTGGACATTTGAGACCACAGCTTCCAGGCGAACCCAGCAGGGGTCATTCGGTTCGTGTTCTTATTTGTGCATCTTTCCATCTGACTACAGAGGAACAGAGAGCGTCATACATGTATATACATAAATGTACACATGTATGTATGCATGCATGCATGTGTGCATGCATGCAGGTATGTAGGTATGTGTGTTTGCATATATGCGTACGTACGTACGCACGTATGTATACATGCATGTATTTATGCATGTATGTGAGTGCACACATATATGTATGCATTTTATGTGCGCATGTGTGTATGCGTGTATCTCTATATACAGATATATACATATATATATATATACATGTCGCAATACACACATATGTTCAAAGAGAGAGAGAGAGAGAGAGAGAGAGCTTGCTTCGGAAATACCTGGTACCGCTACTGCATGCAGAGTCTTAGAGGCATAGGTCGGTACCCACCATGGCCATCATCGCCAAACATGGCATGGACCATCATGCTTGTGACACTGGGCGGGCCCTCCGGGACTCCAAGATCGATCTGTGGTGACATTCGCGACCGCCTGTAGAGGCTGGTATTTCCCCCCACCCCCCCGTCCTCCCCCCCCCCTCCCCCACACCGCCCTGGCCTCTCCGAAGGTGCCACGCCCCAGAAGCGACAAGACCTTGTAGTGGCCCACCAGCTCACCTGCGAACAAGTTGCACACGAACAAAAGAAAGAGGGCAACGCGGGGGGGCTTCGGCGGCGCGCCCCGGGGGAAGTGAGAGGGGGCAAGCCTTCTTAGATGGCGGCACGGCTTCTCAGAAACCCTCTGGCCTTCCGAGGAGCCGTCTCTGTCTTCGGAGACGGCTTAGACAGCTTCCCAGAAGGTCAGAGTACTTCTGGGCCGTCTGAGGAAGCCCGCCACCTCTGCCTTCCCCCTAGGCTCGCCGCCGAGGATTGGAGACTGGTGTGAAATATGTCGGCATTGGACCAGCATGGGAACAGGGATTGGTGCAGTATTAGCCTTCGAGAAGGGATAGCAACTGGGACGAAAGGATGGGAGGGAACATAAAGGATAAAGGTCTTTGGTGCACACGGGGGGAGATCGGGCATGAGAGCAATGGGAATCTAGTCAGATGTTCAGCATCTTGCCGCAGGAATCCGCCTGGGGCGCTCACCGTCCGGATGAAAAGACTTGGCAAATCAGACACCGCTGTCGGACGGAGCCACGCTTTGTCAAGATATTTCTGTATGTTTGGTTGTGAGCGGCGGCGGGTGATACGGTTCTACATAAACCTAGATGTCCGCGATCGGGCAACACGCGACGCAAATGCATTGCGCAGAATCTTTTGCGACCGCTGTTGCTGCTGGGTGCCGAAACACGCTTTCTGTCAACATATACAATTTAATGAAAGTGGGCTGCATGGCGCGATCCGAGGGCTAAGGTTTGCAACTCGGGCCCGCACGCCGTCCTGGTAACTGACCGAAGCAAATTTGGGTGCAACAACTGGTAGAACCATCTCTCGGTCACTGAACAACCTTCGGGCAACGTCATACGAAATACGGACTCCCTTCAGCTTGGTATCGGCGTCCATCCTGGCACACCCCTCCAGATAATCGCGCACCCCCCTCCATCCAGCCAGTTATGGACACTCCCACCCACCCGCAGCACTGAAAATGAAGACGCATCGGTGTGAACGCCTGACGGCAAGTCCATACACTAAAACACATAAGCTCTGGCAAGGGCAGTCCACTCTGCTGCCTTCTAGAGGCGATTTCTGCTTCGAAGCTCCGGAGGACGACTTCGTGTCCATTCCTGCCCCTCACACTTACACCCTGGTGGCAAAACACCCTGAACAATATACTTACATCGTAAAAAGAACGACATACAATACGGTGTAGAAGAGAACGCACAGGGAGAGCATCCGAGGTAACTTGCGGGAGGCCTTAAGAGATACACAACGAGATGCCATAAAAGGGGGACCGTAAAAGAACTACACGAGAAACCATCACGGAGAACATATGGGAGGACATACGGGACATCATACGGGAACACATGCGGGATAACATACTGAAGAACATGCGGGAGACCGCGAACCACTGATTCTGGATTCGGAGGACCTCACACTCGGTCTTACAAGAAATATCAAGGGCCCTTACAAACAAGTCATTTCGGAAAGCCATGGGCGCGGGACGTTATCGGGCAAACAGAAACATACGAAACCACCGGGCAACAGAGAAGCATCCCCGGGACGCGGGACGCCTTCGTAGGAAGCCGTTGTCCAAACTTTGCTCGGGAAAGCGTGAAAGAAATAGTCTTCTTCTGCTTCCCCCCAAAAGCAAGACGTGGGTCCAAAAACAACGACACACGACGACCGCGGAATTGAACTGCCGGGCGGACCGCACGCGTGTGTGGGCCAACTCAGACCAATGGCCTCGGTGCCTACACATCGTGTCTTGTGCGTTTACGAATTCGTCTGCTCTCTCCCAAACCCTGCTCCATGCTTGCGCAATGTACGTTTTGTCCGCAACATCGCCCATGCGCATCCTGTCGCACGGCGAAGATGCGGTCATCCAAAAACATCTGCAATTCGCTTAAACATCTGCAATTCGCTTAAACACCATACCACAACATACCGTGATATTTCCTGTGTCCTGTTCCAATTCCCAATGCCCAATGTTAGAACTATTTGTTATTCCTCGATCCAATGTTGTAATGGTTGAAATCATCCTGAAGACCTTTGCCAGGACACCAACCCGTTCCCCTCCGAAAATTACGTTGCCCGAATCTGGGTGGGCCCTGGGACATGTGACACTATGGCAGATTCGCGCTCCCGAAGCTAAAATCCAATGTGACTTCTAAACGCTTCGCGAATCCCCACCAGCCCATCCAGAAACGATCTCCAAGCGAATTGAAGTGATCAAAGAAATGCAAGAACAAAGAGGTGGACGGCCGAACCGTGCGAAGGAGGGAGGAGGAGAAGGAGGAGGCTGGATGGATGGATGAGGGAGTGGAGAGAAGAAAGATACACATGATGATGACGATGAGGAGGAGGAGGGGAAATAGGAGGAGGAGGAGGTGGAACATACGGAGTAGGAGAAGGAAGAAGGAGCAGGAGGAGGAGGCCAAGCAAACTGGCAAAAGGTCTCTTGGGTGCCTCTCGGAGCCTCTTGGGGTCTCTCTTGGGCGCTTCTTGGAGGCCTCTTGGGACGTCTTGGGGGTCTCTCGGCTGTCCTGGATGGCTCTTGGGCGTCTTGGGTGCCTCGGGGGGGGGGCTCTTGGGGCCGCTTGGGGTCCTCTTGGGGTCCTCTTGGGGGCCTCCTGGCGGCCTCTTAATGCCATATTGGAGCCATATGGGGCCATCTCGGGACCTCTTGGGACCTCCTGGGCGCCTCTTGAGGCCATCTTGGAGGAGACCGATCAAAGAAAGGGCGGGTCGCAATTCGCGCCGCCCCCCCCAAACGGCCCAAATGAGGCCAACACCCTCGTAACACCAACGATGGTTGCTTCCTCGCCGAAGCCGTTTTGGACGCTCCAACGACTCGCGACCGCACCCGTCCAGGTCCAGGGGAAGGGGTAAGGGGGAGGGGTCAAACTACACACCTGCCCGCAAGCCGTCTAGCTCACTCCCACCCGCCATCCCTACACAAAAGTAACACCCGAGCCTGAGCATGTTCAGCGGTCGTCTTTGGATGGGCAACTATTGGGAACCAACGCCGACCCCGGGTGCGCGACGCTTGGGCGAGGTGCGCCACGCGTGCCAGGCACCCCTGGGGCCCGAGCGTGCCAGGCACGCCTGGTGCGCCAGATGCGCCACGTGCTCCGACTGCGCCAGGTGTGCCACAAACTCCAGCCGCGCCAGGTGCGCCGCGTTCGGGGCACGTGCAGAGTGCATCAGGTGCGCCAGCGCACGTGACAGCACACATCGGGAAACATTTCGGCCCCCGCCATCCTTGTCGAAAACCGATGCCCATCATTGTGTCTAGTTGGCCTGCGCACAGCAGGCTACGCGCCACCACCCTCGCAGTCCCTGTCAAAAACCGCTTGACAATGATCGCGGGATGGCCGCGCAGTATTCAGATTTAGCCGTGAGGTGCACGTCGTATTGTTTTTGTCAAGGATGGTCGCCCTGCGCGCAGCAGGGAATGTGCTGACACCCCAGCCGTGCGTCAAAAACAATACAGAATGCTCGCGGGCCTCACGAACATGACTCAAGACTTTGCCCCAAAGTGTACTTTGTATTGTTTTTAGACAGGATGGAGGGGGGTGGGCCGCATCGGGTTGGCCGCGCATGCTCCAAATGTGGAGGCAGAGTGCGGTCTGTATTGTTTTTGACAAGGATGGTGGGGAGCGGGTCGGCATAATGTCGGCATGGTGCCTGGTTGGCCCTCAGTCGCCTGGAGGAGGGGGTGTATATCTATAAAGGACAATGATTATTTTTGACGAGCGCCCTGCAGCACCAGCCTTACTCCCTGATGGGAATGGACTCCACCCGAATGCGTTCCTTCGGGTGCCAGCCTCGCTTCACCCTGGGCCAATACTCCGCTGCCTTTGCGAGTGGACGTGTGCACTCATGGCGGAGCTGCTTAAATTGTCCAAGGGTCGAAAACGCTTTGCAGCGGGTGCAGATAATTAAGATCTGATCGTTCGAGCATTCGAGCGCCAGACAGGAGTGACCGCGTTCGATCACAGAAGGAGCTACGAGAGGCAAGTCTCCTGCGCAGCCCTCGGACGAGGGACGCGCTGCTTGCCTGCGAAATCTGAGACAACGATTGCACCTCCAAAAAGACTTGACCCCAACCCAGACATGCACTCCCTCAGGCACCTCAGCCCCAAGGCGGGGTGGGCGAGGAGGCGCTATGTAGGGAAAGTCTGCGAGGTCCAGACGTGGCCAAGAAACTAGAACTTTGGCCGCAAGGCGCGAGACTGTACGAGACACCTTGAGCTGCCAATCTAGTTTAGCCTGCTGCTCATTGTTACACCTGGGGTGAGCTGCGGCCCCAAGCTTGGCTGATCGATCAGCCTCGTCGTTCCCGATTTTAAAGAACCGTTCATCGGGGGAGAGAAAGTCCGACTCAACCACATGGGCCTTCACTTTGATCAAATCCGAAAAACGGGTCCCCAGAACATTAATCATGAGGCCCGAGTAAGGCCTCTTGTACGACAGCTTCTTAGAACGGTCGAACTTAAAGGCCCTACACACATTCAAACAGTCTGAGTATCCTGGAGCAGGGTCCGTGAGGCAAAGACTAGAGTAAGCTAGAGCCCCAAACTCGGCCGCCTGAGGGGTCTGGGGAAACCGATCCCAAAGGGGAGACCAAGCTCTAAGCTTCAAAACCTTCTGAGAATCAAAAACCGCTATGCCCCACCCTGCCCTGCTTATTTCCTTCACTACGTGCTTCTGACAGAAACCATCCATGAACACATAAGCTCCAGAAAACAGTTGCTCATCTTCATGTTCTTGATCCACCCCCCAACGGAACTCTGGAGCACATTCGGGAACAGGGCGGGGGTGAAGGTCCCCAGGATGTGGGAAAAGGCCCTTGGTGAATAAAATCCAGTCCCCCATGGAACACGAAGCAGGGTCAATCTCATTGGCCTCCTGCAAAACCTCTGGATCTACAATTTCCTGTCTGAGCTCCGCGACCTCAGGGTCAGGACAAACCCAAAACCTGTGGAACATCGAGTCCGAGGGCCCGCCGCACAAAGCGCAGCACGTGTCCTGGAGTTGATAACCGCACTGGGTCGCCCGCTCCTTGGTCCAACTAGCGCCGCAGACGTTGGCTCTGATCGAGCCTTTCTCGAACGGCGTATATTTTGAACTGCTGAGGTCGCGAATCACAGAATCGTAGCATAGCCTGGCGCCGACGCCAAGCTTCTCACCTGAAAGTCTGCACAGTTGACGAATGACAACTTCCCGCAGAAGATTCTTGATCAATTTGGGGGAAGAGGTCGTGAGGGAGAAGGTGACGCCAAGGTCGTTCGTCATCTGCGCGTAGCTGGGCATGCTCCAGCCGATGCGCTTGAAGGACATAAACATAGCACCTATGGGGCCCCGCACCTGCCGCCAAGCAGCTGGCGGGTTGGCCCACGTCTGAGTCCAGGCGTCGCGTAGACCCGCGAAACCTAAAGCAAAAGAAGATTGCTGAACCTGGGCATCCCACAATTCCATGGAATATCTGGCAATCGGAGAAATGGCAGCATGATAAACTGGGTCCCCTTCCAGAATACACAGCGAAGTAAGGGACCTGGACCCAGCCGAAGGTTTGACAGACTTCCCAAATCCAGACCGTAACATTCCCAACTCGTAATCGGAAACTCAATAAACCTCTGAACCGTAGGTAACTGATGCCAGCGGCCCTGAAACAAAGATCTTGCGAGCGTGTCGGCCTAGAGCTTGCCGAGCTTTTATCACCCGTCGGCAGCGGGCTCTAAACTGAGCCTGTCTAGCCTGAGCCTTCCTACCTCGACCTTTGGTGCGGCGGGCCTGTCCAGCGCAGTCGTCGACCCCAAGATTGATTGCAGAGCTGGTGTCCGCCGAGGGGCCTCCGTGCGCTCCCAGATACTTCTTCATCTCCTGGCCTACGTCGGCGTGAGAAGCCACTACTGCTGCCTTATCAGTAGATATGGTCGCCTCCATATCGGTCTCCAGGGCCACCAAGAGGTCCACCGAGGCCCGCTTCAAAGACGACACAACCGATTTCGAAGTCCCCGAACTCGGAAGACCATAGTCCCACGGTAGGGATGATGTACACTCTGACGTACGAGGTCGCTATGCTACAGCCAGCAACCACCCCATGCGTGGCGAAGTGAGGCCCATGAAGAAGACCTCCTAGCGGTATGAATCGAGCCCCACGATAAGCCCTATATGAAACTCTGGCGATCTGCATCGGGAAATCAAGCAACTGGCAACGGTCGAGGAGCTTGGGGAGCCGAATCGTTTCGTAGAACTTATATAAAGTCCCACAAGACTTTACAACAGCTCATCCCACGGCCGACTATATGCTCACTCTTCACTCCCTGACGATACACCACATCCGAGGCTGAGTTGAATGAACCTGAAGCCAAATAGAGACGCTGATGTTCGGCTTCCCATCGCTCAGCGTAAGGGCGCCGTGCGCGAGCCCACAACCTATAGAGTGCCGAAAAAAAAAGCCCTATCGGGCGGTAGCCACCTGCAGGCTTCTGAAGCAATACCGTGGGCAGCACCTGTGCGGGGTGGGGCAACAGACTGGTGGCCTCCATCGTCGCAAACATGGTGCTGACGGCTATCAGCAGGTCGGGCTGCATAAGGGCGAAATGCCGCATGTGAAACCCATCAACACTGATAGCCGTGCCTAGAGCATAAGTCTTACTCACAGCAATCAAATCGTCCGCCGAGAGGACCTCCAAAGGTTCCAAGAACTCGAGGGGCTCCTGATCCTCAGGCGGCGGGTGGGAGGAAGACTCCCAAAGAGCCCCGAAACGTTCCCCTTCCGACTTGAGGAGGGACATGGGATCCGAGAGGACCAACCCGTCGGCCGACAGCGTGGTCGAGGCCACCCAGGGCTTCAGCTCGCGGGTCCAGCGGTGGGCGTTTTTCCCCCTTTGTCGACGCCGTCCAACAGCCAGCTACGCCACTCCTTTAGCGAACGCTGTGGGGAAGACTTAGCATACTCTGCTAATCTAGGTTCAAGTTGAGCGTGAAACTCTCGAAAACGTGGCTCATCATCAAAAACATCATGAAAAACGTGGAGGAGTTCGCACCCGAGGCGATCATCATCTTGAAACCCTTCCCAAGCACGTTGAACATGAGGAGGGGGATCAAGAAAATGGGCCCGATAACGTTTAAAAGCTCCAGAATCCCCAGAGTCGAAAGCCCCCAGGATAAACCTCGTAGTCCTTGATAGCCACCGACCTGCAACCAGGCCAGGATCTCGAGTCGGGGGACGCGAATCTTTCTCCAGCGCCGAGACCCAGGCCAAACGAGGCCGACGTCCACGGGAGCCCCAAATTCTGAGCTCCGTCTGAAGGACCCTGGATAACTCCCATTCAGCAGCATCAGCCCAAACTCGATACAAAACGTCAAGGTGCTTCTGAATTTTACCTCTGGACGCTCGCCTCTGGATAAGCTCTCGCCCTTCACGGGCGCAGTCCAAAACATGGGCGTGATCCTCCGTGCAGGGAGCGGGGCCGATTGGGCACTCCGCTGGCAACTTCGGCGGACGGAGGAAAGTGAGGGCCTTAAGCTCAGCCAACTGCGGGTGGAAGAGAATGCGCGCGGGCGTGTGCGTCCTGATGTCGCTATCGAGGACGGCGGTGACTTCCTGAATGCATCTGGTAAAACCTGACGATAGCACAAAATAGTCCAGGACACGTAAACCCCCAGTACTAGAACATGTGCCCACATCAGGGTAGATAACATTCGCCTTCAGATAACCAGGAACCCCCGAGGAGACCAGGACCTCAGGATTCATATTGAAGTCCCCACCTATCACGTTAGGACCCTCGTAGAGCGAATGTCTGGCCGAGACAGCCGCCAGTATGTCAATATTCCTGCTTGTAAGCTCTTCACTGTCGTACAGGTAGACCGATGTAACCAAAACCGTAACGGCCCCTGGCACCTGGACGATTCCACTCATAGCCCTGGACGGGACGACGATCGGACCGAACTCGGGATCGTGAAAGCCCAGGAAGGAGCGGACCAAAATTGCGACACCTCCCGAGGTGCCTCCTGCTGCGGTTCTGATAGCTGGATTGAATCGAGATTTCCAACCCCTCTTTAGTGCCCATTGTCCTGCCTTGGCTACGTTGTCGTCCGATACGATGTGGTGCTCTTGCACGAGAACGATGTTTGCAGACGTGGTTACAAGCCACGCCTCGGTGGAAGACCAACTCGTACAGTTCACCGTTTCGATCGACAACTGGAACGTGCAATCAGGGCAGGGGGGCACCGATAAAAAACTTCGAGGGGTCAGAAGGTACGTCGCCTCCTGGGGGCAACCTAAAATACTTGGAAGCAACGGCCGAGGCCTCAGAGCTGGCCCCACACCAGTGGTGCAAGGCCTCACCTGACGACCCCGAAGTCGCCGCAGCTGACCTGTTGCTCCCAGTCGATTTTGACCAATGAAATTTCGAAACCTGGTCGGGCTCCAGTGGGGATGAGGGAGTGGTCGCCGCTGGACTACCTTGAGCTCGTATGTCATGCCCCCCCTGCCAGCTAGGCGCTGGCAGGGGGGCCTCCTTCTGAAAGTGGACCGAGAATGCGATCTGCAGCACCGAGGAGGTCCGTTGCTGATGACGAAGCCGACGCAGAAGGTGGCGCCCCCGACGGAGCAGATGAAGAGGTCCCCTCGCCTCCCCCGCTCGCAGGCGGCGTCGCATCAGGCTTGGTACCCCCGTCGTCGTCTCCTGTTGTGGCTGCAGCCGCCGCACCTTCAGCTCCAACCTTCCGCTTCTTGCCCATCTTGCCGACATGAGCTGCGTGGGCTTTCTTGAGCTCGTCGAACTTCTTCTTAGCTTCGCCAAACAACTGGCGTGCCGAAGCCTGGATGGCCTCCTTGAGCTGGGCCTTGCGCTTCTCCAGCTCCTTCGTGTCGGCCTCCTGCACCTCGTGCGCCGAGCTGTCGACCCCGAACACATCCTCGACGTTGGACATGTCCAGGAAGTCGCTCTCGCCCGACAAAAGATCCCGAAGGGACACCCGTGCCTTCGGCTGGGCCGCTGGAGGCGGGCAGACCTGAATACGCAGCTGCTCCACCAAAGACTTGTACTTGCCCACCTCTGCGGCCAGCTCGCGCCGAGTAGAACCGATGGACTCCTTTTTGTCGTGGAGCCAGCTCTGCCACTTGGTGTATTGATCCAGATCGTGCTGTAACTTCTTCTCCAGCTGCTTGATGTGACGGTCGACCTGGTTCGCCTGAGCCTGGAGCGGCACTGGCGCATCCCCGACTCGGCGCTTGTCCAGACGGTGCTGGAGGGCTGAGGCGGCCGACGAGTTGCCCATCTTCTGGTTGAGGGAGATGAGCTGCTGCAGCTCCTCCTCGGACAGCTTGTCCTCGTCGCCAGCCACCGGCGGGGGGCTGGTGCCTCCCTGGAGGCCCACGGGCAGGGCCGTCGACGTGGCCCCAGACGCCCACTTATCCCAGTCGGCCCAGGGGGCAGCCCAGGCGCCACTGGGCGGCTGGGGCGCCGCTGCCTCCACCTCCTTGCGCTTGCCGTGGCACTGCTTGCAGAACCAGTACCGGGCCAGGTTCTTGCCACAGCCTCACGCGCAGCACTTCCAGTAGCCATTCGCATCAGGATCACGCCAAGGAGGATGGCCCGCTGCAGACCAGCCTCCGCGACGATGTGGTGGCGCCATGGCAGCGGGCGCCGAAAGATGCGGGAGATTGCCTCTGATTCAGTCGTCTCCCGCGGGGAGACGAAACCTCGAGCGCCTCGGGACGGCACAGAGGCAGGCCCAAAAAATTTGGGCCCCAGTTGCTTGAGAAAGGACAATGATTAACCCCTCCCCGAAGGGGAAGGGGGAGGGGTGCAAGAGGAAACGCTCTAAACCACCTACGCTCAGAGGGCTGGTGGGATTACCACGCGCTCGCGCTTCCGAGGCCACTCACCTCAGTGCATTGCAACGAACTCGCGCTTCCCAAATCACAACCGCTGGTGAAGCACTATATGTCCATGATACCGAGGCCACAATCGCTGGTCAACTACAACAACTTCGCGTCCACCAAGCAACAGCCAAGTCAATTACATCGAATTCGTCACCCCGGAACCACAGCGCCTGAGATGTTTCACGCGCGCGCTGCACCCTGATGCAATCATGGAAGCTTGCGTCTTCGAAACCACGATCCTTGGCAAGTCATGCTGCTCCCGCGCTCCCAAAACAACGCTCGCGCTCCCGAGGCCCTTCAACCGAAGAAGATCCCCGTCTGCTCGTGGCCCGACCGCAGGTGCAGCTTCCCCTCGGGGATGTGCACGTGGAGAGTCAGCCTGGTCGCCCGCGTCGCGCCGGGGCCAAGCTGGCCCCTACTTCTCCACGGCGAGGTGGTCATTCAGCAGCGCTTGGCCCCGCGCGTAGACAAGGTCCTCGGCGGGAGGCACCGGTGAGATGCCGAGGTCCACGAGGAGCGTCGCGAGCTTCCCCCGCTCCTGCTGCGACTCCGCGTTCGAGCCCGAGGGAGCGGATGTGGCCAGTCTGCCTCCGCCCTTCAGGGCAACGCGCAGGATAGCCCTCCACTCGGCGACCTCTGGCCCCGCGAAGTGTCGCGTGCAATGTCGCGGCGTGCCCCTGCTTCGGCAGCCTCGACGCCAGGTCCACGCGCGCGCGAGGCAGCGTGCGCATCGCTGGCTCGCTGCTATAGTCGACCGTCGAGTTCGCCATCGCCTCGGAAACCGGCGGCTCCCCCAAGTCTCGCAAGGATCCCGGGCGAGCGCCGCGGTTCTGCGTCGGATGCGCTTTCCTTGGGGCCGACGCGCCACCTCGGTGGTCAGGGGCAGGGGCAGCAAGTCGCGCGCGCGATCGCCGCTCCCACGCAAAATGGGCGAATCGAACTCCCGCGCAAAGGCGCCCAGACTGCCGGGGTGCGTCCGAGCGATGCCCACGATCGATGCCGCCGAATCCACCAGCCGCGCCTGGTTGCCGACCTCCACGGGCGCCACCTGCAGCCGCGAGCGCAAGCCGGCTGGGGGGGCTGCAGCCGCGGCGCCCCCCCTTCCCCGCCGCATGGCCTGCAGGACGCGGCGGGGGCCGCAAGCGCGCCTCGTCCTGGTCAGACCCCTAGCCCAGCCTCTTCTTGCGCGGGCGCGATGTGTGCTCGTCTCTAGCCTCTGCTCGCCGGCCTGGATGCCCCTGATGAGCTCCTCCTCCTCCTCCTCCTCCTCCTCCTCCTCCTCTTCCTCCTCGCTCTTGAGAGCCGACGGCTCGTCGCGCTGCGGGATGCGCCCGAGCCACTTCGCCGCCGCCCAGTCGCCGTCGCCGACCGCCAACTGTAGCGCCCTGAACCTCTGCGCCAAAGGTCCGCGACGGCTGCCGTGCGACCCTGCAGCAGCATGTCCAAGGCCTCGGCGAGGGCGCGGAGCTCCCTGTAGACCTGCACCCCGATGTCCCTCACCGGATGCTGAGGGGGGTGCGCCAGCATCAAATACCTCAAGACGATCGCGCTCGCAAGGTCGACCGAGCTCTCGCCCTTCTGCGGGCCCAAAAACTCCTGCATCTGCACCGAACTCGTCTCCGCGAGCTTCCCGGGCTGCCCGGCCACCACATTGCGGCAGCGCGCGCGCGCCCAGGCGTCGGGCCTCTGGGCAATGGGCCGCTGTCCGCCGCCGCGACGCCATCGAGGCCCAAGCCGTCCCCGGTCTTGCGGCCGTCCAGCAGGCGGGCGAGGACCGACGCCAACTCCCCACCCATGCCAGGGGCGGCAAAGCCCGCCGTGAGCGCACCGCGCAAGTCGCTCGCTCCGTTGCCCGCGCCCTCGCCCTTGCCCGCATCTAGCAAGCCGCGATCCGCCTTCGCCGCTCGGTCTTCCAGCACCTCCGCGAGGCCGCGCTTCGCCGCGGACGAAACCGCCGCGCTCTCCGCGCGGGCGCCCCCGGTCCGTCTCCGCCACCGCGGCCGCGCAGGGAAGCGGGTCGGTCCTTTAGCCGTTCGCGCAGCTCGCGCAGCTCAGGCCTGTAGCAGCCGCTCGCGCAGCTCAGGCCTCGTTGGCGTAGCCCTGACGGCGGGCGGATCTGAGGCCAGCGAAGAGGTCCTGGAAACAGTCCTCCCCGCCAGCGGGCGCCGAGCCCTCTGCTCTGGCGTCCCGGGCGCGCGCCCGCGGCGGGGCCGCGCGCGGCCCCGGAATGCCGGCGGGCCAGGATGCGCCCGCGTTTCGGAGCGAGTGCTGCGCGAACAGCGGCTCCGCCATTTCCTGCGGCAGTGCTCCGCGCTGCTTTTTCAAATGCGCGGCAAGGGCCGATCGCTGATGACCCCGAGCGCGCCCGCGAACCAAGGCCACCGGCCCCGTTGGGCGTCGTCCGACCGCAGGCAGCTGGCGGGCGCGCGCGAAGGCCTGATCGCCAGGGTGGCGCAGGCGCTGCTGGACGAACTGGCGCTGCACCGCCCGCTCCGCGTCGCAGCCCGCCGACGCATGGCGCTCGCCGGCGACGAGCTCCACCGGCTCCGGGGCAGCTCGAGGTCCCGGCCGCCGGCAGCGCCAACGGCGGCCTCGCTCGACGCCCCGCCCCAGCTCCGCGAGGTCGTCCGCCCCGCTGCGCCCTGCGGCACCGCCGCGGCGCGCTCGCCGCCCCGGCCAGGGCGCGCCGCCGAGGACGGCGCCCACTGCGCGCGCCGCCGCAACGAGGGCCCCCACCGCCGAGGCGCCTCCCGCGGCGCGATGCTACGCGCGCGCCCGCGGTCGCGCCTCCGCGGGCGGGGCGGCGGAAGAGGCCTTTTGGCTCCCAGCCAAAACTAGCTTGAGCCCAAGGAGGCTACGAGAAGGAAGCGGCGACTTGACGATCGTGACGGGGTATGTACTTACCACGACGTGTAAACGGAAATTTACAGGTATGTTAGCTAGCGTGGAACACAGACAGTGGTTCCTTGCAGTCTATGCGGTGTAAGTCAGTAGCGTGCTCCGCGCGCGATCACCTCCCATGATCGTGCAAACATTCCATCCATCCTTCCGCATCTTGGTTCCAAAGCCTATGCGGCGGCGATTGCGATGGCTGCTTGGCGCTGGCTGGCACATCGCCGCAGCGACGCTTGCGCGCGCAGGCTCGCGCGCAGAGCGACCGACTAGACTGGCGCGACCGGCGCGGCCGAGGTGGCGCTTACCGCCAGGCACTTCCCGGCGCGTCTTGCATGCAGCGCTGACTCTTGGGCGCGCCAGTGCGAGTCAGTGTCTCGAGCGGGCGCGGTACCATGGCGACGTCGACAGATGGCAGACGCGATAACGATAGTAGTGATGTTGGCGACGACGACGACAATGACGATGGCAAGGCCAAATATGGCACCGACGCTGATCGCGCCGATAAGGATGATGATGTCCACGTGTCGGCGATGAAAACTTTGGAAGGATTTAGACGTGCGCGCGCGGCTGGCGCGAGCGAGTGGCCCGCATGGCACTCTTTGAGAAGTATCGTGTGCCCCCCCAACACACGCGCAAGGGTGTTCAAATGATTTCGACATGCAGGCGCGAGGGGCTCGATTGGTTGCACTTGATGAACATGCTGAACAACCATGCGGCTTTTCATTACAATTCGCAAGAACGCGCGCAAGCGGCTTTGAACAATCATGTTGCAAAACCAGTGTGTGTGCACACATATATATATATATATATGTTTCCGGGGCACTCGATTCTTAAATCCTTACGATTCCTACGGTGCTGCTGAAGGATTTCGGCATGCGCGCGCGACGGCGCGCGCGTGCACTTTGTTAAAGTTTGTGCAACAGCTTTTGAAAACTGACGGTTCTTGATCAACAAATGTGGGCGCATTGCGTTGCTTGGCAAGGATGGCTGGAAGGGGGGTTCGATAGCGATGTAGAATCATATGCAAATTGCACTGCGCGAGGGTGAACAGGTAAGTGCAGCCAGCCTCGGTGAGGTGGTGGTATCTGGTCTCCTTTCGAAAGGAAAATCAACCTTGCCGAACTTGAAGTCGACAGCTCCACAGCCCGCGCAATCACCCCACCCTCCCACCAGCAACTTGTGTCTCACAACCCATGCAGTTGCGATGACTACTTGCGGCAACGCTACACGTCGTTCATGTCTAATCGCGCTCATTTCTAATTGTGGTCGTCTCTAATGGTTCCCGACCCCCTGGTGGCCAGGAAGAGGCCTCGGATAGAACAATTAGAAATGAAAGGATCTTGGCCCCCCATAAAGTCAAGGAACTTTCGAAGAAATAGAAATGACAAATGTGTACTTGCGGCAACGCCAGCGCGCGCAAGCTCGCGCGCAGAGCGGCCAGCTGGTCTGGCGCAGTCGACGCGGCCGTGATGGTGCCCACCAGCGGGGAGCGTCCAGCGCGTCTCACAGGCAGCACTGGCGCGCGGGCGCTTCAGTGCGGGTCGGTGATTCGGGCGGGCGCGGCATCGTGATGACGTCGTCAACGGTCGACAACGGCGGCAAAGATGATGACAGTATCGATGGTGACGACGGCGACGGCAGGGCCGACGATGGCGCCGATGCTGGTGACGACGCGATTCTGATGTCCATGTGTCGGTGACGAAGATGGTTTGCTGACGACGGTGACAGGTGGCGGCGGTTAACGGCGACGATAACGGCGGTGATGTGGTGGCGCTGATCGCTTTCGAAAATGATGGTGAACACGTGCGCGCGCGGGGGAATCCCTCAACCCAGGCAAGGAGGAGGAGGATGAGAA